TGGTGGTCTTTGTCACGTCAAAGTCAATCTCATCTGGTAAGTCCCCTGGGAAGGCAAAGGTTGTAGATTCCATTTACCAGCCGTGACGTTTCCTGGTGGATTTTAAAAATAAAGAATCGTTTGTCTGTCCTTTTGTTTTTTAATGTTATTTTCCTTAAGATTGTAAGTTGCCCTTTGGTAAGTCAATGGAAAAGAAGGGATCAGTTCGACTTGAGGTAACCAAGGTCAGATCCCTAAGTCAGGTATTGTTGTTATCTCACCTGATGTCCCAGAGTCATTCCCAGTTCCCTGTGCCTTCTTAGATTCCACCCTGAGATGTTTTCCCAGGCCATCATCTTCAGAAACTGAAAATTATACAAAGTTATTATGGGATCAAAATTATCACTAGAGCCAGGGGTGTTGATGCATGCTCTTAAATTCAGCACTTAGGAAACAGAGACAGGAGGATCTCCATGAGTTTGAGGTCAATCAGGTCTACATAGCAAGCTCTAGGAAAGGTATAGAGAGAGACCCTGTCTCACAACAACAACAACAACAAAAGTATTTCTAGAAAAAAGTTATTCATAATTATTGGCTTTTTAAAATTAAAATATGATCACCTCATTTTCCTCCTTCCTTTTCTTCCCTCTACTTCTTCTCATGTACCATCCACCCTACTCCAGCTCAACATCAAGGACTCTTTCTTTAAATTCTCTCTCTCTCTCTCTCTCTCTCTCTCTCTCTCTCTCACACACACACACTCTCTCTCTCACACACACACACACTCACTCTCTTTCTCTCTCTCTCCCTCTCTCTCTTACACACACACGTAAGCATACGCATGTGCACAAAATGCCTAAATGTATAAATGTAACATACTCCATCCATTTAGCATTACTTACAGGTATGTGATTTCAGGACTGACCACTTGATCCTAGACACCCATTAAGGGGGCTCATACCTGGAAAAGACTATTTCTCCTGCTCTTAGCATTCCTTCGTTGCCTGTAGTTCTTTATCCGTGGGTGGCGTTCTGTGAGATTTCCCACTTTCGAGTTAGCGTGTCTGTCAGAATTGTCATCGTTCAACCATATGGCTGTCATTAAGCGGCCATATTGTTGAGGTGTCATGAATGAAGCTTCCCTGTCATTTCTAGGAGACAACAACTCACAGCAGACTCCCTCGTCCTCACAATGGTCCTGCCTCCTCTTCTGTAAAGGCCCCCAAATCTTAGGCTCAGGCATTGTGTTGTAGATGTGTTGGTTGGGGCTGGTACCCCACACTTACTGGTTCTCTGCATTTTAACCAATTGCAGTTTTCTGTAATGGTCTCCATCTATTGCAATGAAAAGTTTCTTTGATGGGGGTGAGAGCTATACCTGTCTGCTGGCCTAAGGATAAATATTTAGAATGCAGCTAGGAACAATGCTCGTTTAGTAAGTAAGGTAGCTGCAGTAGGTTCTCCTCTGAGCTCCCTGACCTTACTACCCCAGGTTAGTTGGCTAGATTTCTCATATCAGGCATGATTTCCCTCTTGTTAAGCACTGTTGGTTAGCGCCGAGATATGAACACCACTATCACGCTCTCAGGGCAGTTGTGCCATGCTGGCTCTAATTGTGCTTCACAGGCACTGTGGTTCATTCTGATCATTGAAACTAGGTTTCTGATCATTTAAAAATCATTCTCTATGCCAAGTAGCTCATTAAGGCAGAATGTGGATGGGTGAGCAGGTGTCAGCTAAGAAGAGAAGACGACGAGTCATGATGTATTGTGTACTGCTATGGCGTGGGTACCAAGGACCTAAGATTCAAGTGTTAAGGTAATAGCCTCTATCTGTTCTCAGCCCCAGATCTGAGTGTGAGGGATAGAGGTTGGGTGGGACAAAAAATCAGCAAGAAAGGAATGATATGACTAAATAGATAAATCACTAAGACATAGAATAAAGCCAGATGTGAGCTAAGAACAGCTAAAAACCCCTTAGGAAGAGCACCTGGTGAGAATGGGTTAAAGCATCGTAACTTGGGAGCTCCTTGCTTGGGACGTGGAATGACTGGTGGCACTACTGAGCTTGTGATACTGAAGAGGGAACAATGCTGAGGACTCATAGAAGGGCTCAATAAACCATGTTCTCTAGTTTGAGAAATAAGAAGTGGGGTCTTAGGAATTAAGTAAGTTGCCCGGTATCACAAAACCATGTGGTTATAGAAAAATTGCTGTTGTAAAGTCATGTGTTTACAATCCCAGAGAACCTAGACAACAATGAGGATGCTAAGAGAGACATACATGGATCTAATCTACATGGGAAGTAGAAAAAGACAAACTCTCCTGAGTCAATTTAGAGCATGGGGACCTTGGGAGAGGGTTAAAGGGAATGGGAGAGGCAGGGAGGGGAACAGAGAAAAATGTAGAGCTCAATAAAAATCAATAAAAAATATGCAAAAAGCACCATTGAAATGGGAAAAAAAAGTCATGTGTTTAATCCTCTCCAAAAGGAACAAATAGGTTCAAATGTATCATTTGAAGAGAGTCAAATAAAAGAACAAATCACAAAAGCATAAGTGCAGTGGAGAAATCCCACAATAGCACAATATCGCAGCGTTCATAATGAGCATAGAGGTAATTACTGCCTATAAGTTGCAGGGGGCAAGAGGAGGCAGCTATTACTGGAACCTAAAGGGGGAGGGATGCCCTCTCCCTCAGCTGGTGCTGTCACTTTCTCCTGAGGAACACAGCCAGCACTTGAAGATGCAACAGGGTCCAACCCATACTCAAGCTCCTACTCATGCCCACGTAGGCTGACCCTAACCAGATGTCAGAACCATAGTGATGCCCCACATAGATCAGCTCTGCGTCTAAGGACACAGAGAGCAGGCATTAGGGTAGGAAGCTGACCCAAATGAACAGAATGTTACCGGCATACTAGCTAACGGGTCACTTTCTATCAGGGGAAGAACCTGGCTTTTGCATGTGGGTTATTCCATTCAGAATTCTCACAGCGATGGCCCCTAGAAGTGGTGCCTAACACAAAAGAGTAGGAACGCAAGGCTATCGTTGTAAGAGTAAGTCACAGATAGGTCTGTACTCCCTCCCCACTACTGTCTCTTCAGCCTCCTCTCTGCCCTATGCTGTATTCATTTGGGTACCATTTAGAACATGGGTGTCATCTGGCTGGAGAGACTTGAACTACCTGGGCGGAGGAAGAGAATAGCAGATAACCTCACACAGATTTCTGAGAGATTTTTCACAGATGTCTGGTAGCAAGGATCCTCATGCTTTTGATTGACAGTCTTTGACGGTGGCCTACAAATCCCTCTGCACACTAAGTGCCCCCCACTCGAGCTTCTGCTGCTGCTGGAATGTCCCAGCTCCAGCCACAGAAACTTTCTCATTGCTCTTAAAGTGATGTCCCAATCCCCAAGACACTTTACAGTGCTTCGCCCCTCTGCCCTAGACTCTTGTGACCCATGTCCCATTCCCTTCTAATATGTCCACAAATGTCACCCCCAATGACGCTGACCTCACACATTCTATTGAAATTGTACAGCAGTTCCCAGATAGCATCCTCTCCCAACCTGTTCTACTCCATCCTTACAAATAGTACTCACCTTCTTCTAAAACAGTTTTCACCTATTAGGTTCATTGTTTGTTTCTACCCATTAGACTATGGACCTCATGAGGGGAGTGATATTTTTGTTTTGTTCATTCATGCATTTCCATTGCCTAGAAAATGGCCTTATTTGGCTTCAGGCACTCAATAGTCATTGAATGAATTGAAAAAAATAGTGAATGAATGAATGAATGAGGTTCTTGAGAACCTAAAATCAGTGTGACCACTGTCTTCTAGACCCCTCTTCACCAAAACTTATCTGCTCAGGATCTTTCCCAGAAATTCATTGATCTTCCAATCACCATTGCTGCCAATACCTTGTGGCTGGAGTGATCGATGCCTCCGCATGCGTCACACTGGCTTGGTGGAGGAAATGTATTCACGACTTTGGCTCAGTGTCAGAATTAAATGGTGACCTTGGCTCACTTTGCCTCCCCACATAGGTTATTTCTTAATCATAAAGGGAACACTCTGTCCTTGGGAAAAGTAATATTTCTGCCACCTTCAGCTTTCAAATGGCTATTTGATATGGCTCACGGGTGTCCCTGTCAGAAGCAGCTGAAAAAGCTTAGGTAGAGAGGATCAGCAAATGGCCTGTCGTGTCGTCAGAAGCTGGCCATGAGGTGGGATTCGTTTACAATAACTTATTTACCTGTCCAAATCCTTCATACCGCATTAAGGCTTTCTCCGGCTAGCCAGGACCCTGGAGTGCTAAGAGAAAAAAGGAAAATCAATTGATAATGATATATTCCATTAAAAAAATGTATTGATTCCCAGGTAATGACAGTCCTGCACTTTTGTAGGGAGGATGCCATTGCCCGTCACGGCGATGGTTTTCTCATACATTACATTTGAAAGAGTGCACATGGAATCACGCTGCCTTCCCATAATAGATAGCCTCTTCTTAGTAGGTATTAAATCTATATTTAAAACATTTCTCTCCAAGAATTCTATTCTTCACCTCCTCAAGATTCTCTTCCCCATTGTCTAAAAGAAGTAATGATTTGTTATTGTAATTCTGGAGTTTATGACCTTTTTGGCATTAAAGACCAGAATTTCATGGGGACTTTTCCTTCTGAAACTGCTCTGGGTAGATTAGGTGGGAAACAGTGGCATCGTTCTTACTCCTGTTCCATGGTATTGGTTCAGTGATGGTGATTAGGGGAGCCTGTGTGGAGGATGTGAGACCACTGCTCACTGTACCCCATCATCTGGGTGTGCTATGGCAGATTTTGGTACCCTTGTTTGAGGGGGTCCACGAGAGGATGGTCAACATCAAGGAAAACCTTGAGACAGAGACATTCATTAAGGATGGGGGTCCTTTAAGGTACTAGAACTCAAAATCGATAGTTCACACAAAGGGATGGTCATTCCCCACCCCAACCCCAGTCTTTTCCCTCCTCTCTCTCTCTCCAGACTGTCTGGCTCCCTCATTATGCCCATGCTCTGCTAAGTGGTGGCCGTCAACGCTTTTGCATCCTGGGGACGAATCCTGAGCTCACCAGAGACGGACGGCGCAAGGTAGGTCTCTACGTCACAAACCTGCAGTAAGGGGACAGCCTGCCTGGACAAAGCTGACCGGAGGCTGGGCAAGAGGGAAATGGAACTGCTGGTCCCTTACTTGACGGCCAATGAGAGTTTGACCACAGGTGTCTGACCTCAATCTTGAGCGTCTGTAGGGAGTTAGATCTGGGGATGACCAGCAGCGACATGACCTTGAAGTATCGAAAACTGTTATTGTTCTTTTTGGAGTTTAAAAAATTTCAAATCTTACAGTTCAGGATTTTTGTTACTACAATTTATGATCAGAAAAATATTGTGTGTTTTAAGAGAATACCTGTCAGAGCTGAGGGGATCGCTCAGTGGTAGAAGGAGTTCTTACCATACCCAGGCCCAATTCAACCTCCAACACCAAAACAACCCATATATGTACATATGTGCAGATACGCATAGAAAGAAACCCAAAATCCTATAAATGATGTAATTCTATAGAGATAAAAATTCTGGTATCTTTCCCCATGTGCGTATATACAATGGGCACATAGGTCTGCATGCTCACATACGTGGGATCACACTCTACCTACTACTACTTGGTAAATGCTGTTTTGACTCAACTCAGTGTTAAGGCAGCATTTTATCTTGGTGATTAGAAATCTGTATCATTGTCTATCAAAGCTTCCTTTTTTAGATATTATATACATATACATAACCTACTTAATGCCCTAGAGGTGGACTTTTAGGATATTTTGAATCATCCACTGTAGCCAGTACCACAAAATACATTTCTGAGAATGTACTTTGTATAGCTATTTATTTCCTGATGTTAAATTTAGAGAGATCTGACCTTACATTTAGATTCAGGCCTGTCAATCCAGTTGCGAGTGGGGGTGGTGGTGAGGGGCAAGTTGTGGCCTACCTGATGACATCATAGATCTTAGGACAAGCAACTGCAGCACTGTTCTGTCCCCTGCCAGCGAGCCAGGCACCACATGCCGGCCACCGTGATGAGGCTGCAGCTCAACTCGCCAACACTCACACAGTTGCTACCACTAAAGGGGAAGACCTTAGCCCCCGATGGAGCAGGCTGAGGGTGGGGTGGGAGTGCAGGGTTTCAGGATAGCTAGGACTCACCTGGTCTTGTCCTATGTTCTTAAGCACTGATAGTCAGGAGGCTTATGCCTGGGACCAGCAGATGCTCTAAACTTAGCTTAGAACGTCAGGCTGACCTGGGTTCCTTCCATGTCGAGATTCTCTGTGGGTCACAGAGCCTTGTCTTTGGACTCAGTGACAGTGCCGTTAAAGATAACATATTATTCCAGGATTCTTCACAGACACAGAGAAAAAACACTGTGCTTCTAGGATCCCAGGTTATAGGTAGCAGAGACTGTAATTAGGAAGTTAGAAGAGGCTACAGGCTGGGCCTGGATTAGATGCCACCGTGAAGGCACCCACTACCCAACTATGCCTGGGCAGCTATAAAGAAGGCAGGGCACAGAGGAAGGCTGATGGGCTCCTGAGCTGGTGGGCTGTTGGCATGAACCTGACACCCCCTCTGGCTGGGGACTGGGTTGGAGAGACGGTCTTGTCCATTGTCGTAGATCGTTGAGATGCTTGACTTCAGTGGCTGTTGCTTGGGTGATGGAGGAAGGTCATTGGCTAATAAAGGAACTGCCTTGGCCCATTTTATTGGTTAGAAGATAGGTGGGAGGAGTAAACAGAACAGAACGCTGGGAGGAAGAGGAAGTGAGCTCAGTCTCAACAGCTCTCCTCTCGGGAGCAGACGCCTGAGAGAGACGCCATGACCCGCTCCCGGGATGAAGCTCCGACCCAGGATGGACATAGGCTAGAATCTTCCCGGTAAGCACACCTTGGAGTGCTACACACAGATGATTAGAAATGGGCTAAATTAATATGTAAGAATTAGCCTAGAAGAGAATGGGCCAAGCAGTGTTTAAATGAATACAGTTTGTGTGTTGTTATTTCGGAGCATAAGCTAGCCAGGCTGCCGGGATGCTGGGGATGCAGCCCCGCCGCCCCTTATTACTACACTTGGGGACCATCTCCTTCCCAGCAAACAGAGGGTATAAATGAGAAATTTGAGGGTGTGCTTCACCGAAAGACAGCTTTCATTTGGGTGACTCTGCCCTGCTGTGTGCCAGGAAGGAAGGGACTGAGGAAGGCCTGAAGGAGTGGTTTTTGGTTCCTTAAATGATTATGCTGAATTTGATTCTTCTTATTCCCTGATGCCATCACAGGTCTGGGATCATGAAACTCGGGTTAGTCCCAGCTTGGGGTAGTCATACTAGACTCAGACTGGGGGAGGAGGTTGATTTGACAGTTCTCACTAGGCAAAGCAGACAAAGTGCCCCTTTTGAGGGATTCAGTATCTGCCTGCCCCAAATGGGTGTCTCTGTAGTGGATCTTTGTCTGGCCTACCACTGGCCAGTTCCTGAGGGGGAGGAACTGTCTCTAAGGCAACCCTGAATTACACCTGTGTACATCCCACCAGCACAAACTCAGAACCCATCCAGGGCTGTCGCTGTGAGTTCCCACCATATATGGGCCCAACACCAGATATGCTCTTTCTATGTGGTCAGGATAACCTGCTAATATCCCCAGAGGATAAGAAAAAATGCTGAATCCCACTATGGCCCCTATTGGCCAGTAGAAACACTCCTGGACCAGGCGACTGGGTCCTAGTACAAAACAGGCTGATTCAGGAACAGTGCTTGGAGAGCTGCTGCCTTCTCTCTGAAACTGGACGGAAACCGCCCAAGTAATAAGAAGGGTCCAAGAAGCGGTGGGAGAGAAGGCTGGCATTTGTGCCTCTGGGTGGTGAGCTGGAGACCCAAGTCTGTGCAGAACTGGAGATTTGGTTAAGAATGGTAGGGACAGACCTCTGAGCTCTGGAACAGGTGCCAGTGCCAGTCTTCCTTGGCACTGAGGCCAGGTCTACGCTATATCCCTTGTCTTTGTCACTGGGACTGTGGAACAATCTCTTGCAGTCTTTCTCACCCCCCTCCGCCCGCCTCCCCACCACTGGCAAGAAAAATGCCCTACACGTTCTGTATCCTCAAGATCATAACACACGCCTCCAGAGCAATTGTGCTGTTTGCGTGAGGGCCCCGGGCGTCTGCACTCACTGTGGCTTCACTGTCCCTAAATCAGCTGTGCACACGCCCTTCCGCCACACTCTACCCCTTGCCATCCTCCTCTCTCCTCTCTGCGGAGCCTCATTTCCATGGGGCATCCAGTTCCTCTTCCTCTGCACTGGCTCCTTGTCCATCTCTGTTAGATCTCCTGGCCCCTACCCCAAGGATGGGCCGCGAAGACATCTCCGTGGTACTGTGTCCACCACATTTTCTCAGCCATTCCCTCGTGTTCTTGCTGCCTCTCCTGGCCCATTCTGGGGACATCCATAGCCACCTCCTCTCCTAGACGTCTGAGCCCTTGAGAAGGCAGGGTGCTCACGACCACCATCTGGACACAATTCCTCATCATGGCCTTAGCTGGCCCTGACTCTGGATGGCATGTTCTTGCATGCTCTCTTTCTAGGGCTTCCATGCCTTTCCATCAAAAGTTTCCCCCAGGACCTCAATGAGGTCCCTGCTATTTTTACAGAGTCATACAACCTTGCCCTCCCTGGCTCAGGGAGCCGCAGATCTCTGGCTCCTCTTCCTCCCATTCGCTAAGGCAGTGAGTGCTTCTCAACCTTCCTAAGGCTACCACCCTTTAATACAGTTCCTCATGTTTTGGTGACCCCCCTCCACCATAAAATTATTTTGTTACTACTTTTGAACACTAATTTTGCTACCGTTACAAATCGAAATGTGAATATCTGATGTGCAGGTTATCTGATAGGTGACTCCAAGGGGTCACGACCCCTGGGTTGAGAACCACTGCCCTAAGGTTTTTTTCCTCCTGGTTTTCTCTCTCTCTAGTGCCTTCTGTTCTTTCTACCTCAGCTGTGCCATGGACTTGACACCCAGCTGGGCTCTCTATCTCTGCTTACTAGTTATTTGTCAGACTCCTTAAGTTAAGCCTGTCTAAAATAATGTCCCTTTGTTCCTGTCTCCTGTGGGTCTTACTGGGGACTCCTCGGCACTCCGCATTCCCTGGCTGTGTCTGTATCCTCTGCATTAGGGCCCTGCCTTCTTTCTCTTGCCATTCCAGAGTACCTGGTCTGTCCTTTGCTCCACAGGCCCAGCACAGGGCCCGATCGGTATGTGAGTGTAGAAGATCATGCCAGACACTGCAGAACCACATAGCCTGAGGGCATGAGGGGACAGGCTATGAGGGAACACTGAAGGAAAGGGTCAGTCGTGCCACTTGGCCAGCATCGGTGAGCCTCAGGGCCCAGTGTTATGGCCCAGACAGCTTTAGCAATCTTGAGGCCTGGGTCTGTCCACCAAGGGTTCTAATTGAATTGTTCTCACTAAATGGGTCTCTAGCTTGAGCTGCTGTTCCCAATTTAAACTGCCATCTACTACCTGGGCCATCAGAAGGCAGAAGAGACCCTGCGGGGAACCAGAGAGCTCGGAGCCTCTGTGTGCATAGGAATTCCTCTTAGCTGGTGACAGGCAGGGTGAAGGGGTACATCCCAGTTCCTTCTGCCTTCAAAACCTCCTTTGTCACTTAGGCTAGAAATAGCTTCTCTGGGAACCCCAGGGTTTGTTTTTGTGTCCACGTTTGACTTTCTAAGTGCCCCCTTCCTTGGCTTATAGGCATCCTTGCCAGTGGCCAAGACTGCTGGGAACAGTTGGGAGTTTGTCCACTTTGTGAAAACGACTCTGGGCAAGCCCAACCTGGACTCTGTGGGGTGCCTAGGATGGAACGCTCTTTTTTTTTTTTTTTCAAAATTTGGGGGGAAAAAAGACTAGGCTCCTAGTAGTCTTGCCAGCATTGCTCTGGTAAAGGACCAGGTGTGTGTATTTTTGAGTGGCCTTACTCTTAAATTTGTGGATCTTCATCCACTATAGGTGATTTCCCCCATAATTAAAAACTACTCAAAAGTGGGTTTT